GATTTTCCTGATTATTCCATACAAGACCGTTCGTATTCATAATAAACGCCATCATGTTCTTATTTATAACAACTGCGCTTCTTTTAGCGGGAAGATATCAAGTCCGAGTTGTTAGCATTGAATCTCCTGATATAAGAACGCAATGGCAAGACATCATTGTTGGTAAGTATATTTACTTGATGCGATATTCGTTCTTCTTTTATGTCTTTCGTGTTACCTGTTGTTATCTATCCTTGTCGTACAGGTTCTTCTTTTTTTTTTTGTGTTATCAGACTATACACACATTTGTCTTACCTCTACCAAACGTTGACTTCTTTCTTTATTTTACAAACGTGTAAGTTTCGTATCGGCAGCAATCACTACAGTTACTATTCGATTGATTCTATTGATCTGTGAGTGGGTTACGTAAATCAATATCAATACTTACTTGGACTTGACAAAGATCAATTCGTATCATTCTTTTCTACCGAAAAATCATGTCTCGACTGAAGTTTTTGAAAGAGAATTATGCAGATTCGAAGGATGATTTCGGCAATGATAGTTCCGGTTTCGATTATCCATCCGATGGAAAGATCAGACATTTAACTCCAAGCAAATTTCGAGTGACAAAACGTGCACAATTGCCCAATGTTTTCCCACTGTTTAATAACGCTGCTGGTGACATCCCTTTCCACAAAGGAGAATACACATTAACACCATCGAAGTATCGACTGAAAAAAACTCTGAATGCTGAAGCCGACCCCGATTATGAAAACTTCAATCACCATTACAGAAGAGAATCTCAAGAAAATTCCCATCCAGAGAATCATAAACCAGTTCCCGATGGACGCTCTCGCGTTATCGGAGATTTCATATTAGCTAAAAGATCACCTGAAAGCAGGAGCATTTATAGTTATAAACCGAAGAACACGCATACAAGTTATATATACAAAGGTACACTTGAGCCTTCTGAAGTTCAACAGCGTGCAGTCAACGAGATGCAATATATTGCTCAGCAGCAAAGAAGTCGTAGATCATCGGAAAGTTCTGTGCACCGATTGGCCTATGTCAACGTATTTTCGGCACCACGCGGCACAAATGATGGTGGTCAATCGAATTACAATCAATCTTATCCCTCCATTTATCCACGCTCAGCATCGACTTCTGATCGAAGACCTGGCGCATGTGTGCCGTCGTTGTATACTGCTCGATACTATTTTGGCGAGAAAGCCGAAAGTGCCTCGTCCGATGAGGATGACTGGATGAAAGAAAATCGAAATTGTGTGGTACTCGGTCGTCCCCCGATACCACGGTCTTGTGAGCAACAATCGTCTATTGCGCATGCACTAAACGAACAGGAAAGCAATTATACTACTATCAGCAACGGTTTCCAGCATGTCATTGATATCGGAACATCAACGAAAGAAGATTTACGCAATTCAGCACCAGTACCAACTTCGGATAATAAGCGACTAACAACTTTAAGCAAACAGCTATCCTCGGTTACGAACCAAAGTCCTCGTAGCGAAAGTGAAACATACCGGGTCAATCACCCCGATATCGAAGAAATAGATTACGAAGATGTCACGACTGCACCATGGAAAACAGCTAATTACCCAACGGGTATTGCGACTAGTGGAACGCTGAATAGCGAGCCGTATGTCGATGTGAGCGGTTCTATTCTACCGCAAAACGCACATGACAATAGAAATAAATTCACATTCAACGATTCCGACACTGATGAAGAAGATCGCTTTCAATCGACACCAAAACTTTCGCCAAGTATCAATGAAGTTCTGCGTAATGATCCACTCGCTGGCGTTCAACGTTCGAACTATGAAATGAATAATAATAACCGTCGGCGAACACCGAGTATATCGACGAAGAGCACAAAATCGCACACAAGCATATTCGATCGATTTCGCCGCCGAAAAGCAGACGACTCTACCAGCAAACCAAAGAAAGAGGAAAAGAAAAAATCCAAAAAATAATCCTAAATTTTTTTGTTGCCCTTGTGATTAGATAGATTTTCTATTCTGTTTTTTTTTTCTACGTACCATTTCTTTTCGTTTTCTTTTGCGTGTCGCATATTAATGATAAACCATCGTACATAAACAACAAGCCACTTTGAATAATGGCGACCATGAAGAAGAAGGAGTAGAGGTGATAAAACATTGAAAGTTCTATTTGGACAAACTTGTTTTTATCAATGTCGAATAGAAAAATAGTTGAATTATCTTTTTCTTTGTTTTGTTATAGTACCTAAACCACCAACATTACCAACACAGAAGCCAAGTGTTCCACCAGATTTTTCAGCGGACCACAACATTCATCGACCAGTATCAACATCGCCAACGGATCTTAACGATGAATTGATGCGCATTACCACCAATTTCGATAAATCTCAACATTTTCGACCAACGCCACGACCGCCTTATCAAGACTATTCAGGTGACGACGATTCAGAAGAAATGCAACCAAGTCGTAGCACTTATGACTCGAAAGGTGATCCACGAAGACCAAAAGGTATCGACGAGAGTACTCAGTCCGAAGAGAAGTCCACACGAAATGTGGGCACTATGCACGAATCAGTTGAAACACGAAATTTTGGTCACGAAGTCCAACCACAATCATCATCAACGCAGACTTCATTTTCTTTGAAAGACAAACCATCCAAACCACCAATACCCTTCATAGAACGACCTGAACATAGACGTCCATCAATCGATGACCCTCCTCGAAGTTCTCGAATCTCTCCTCGTCCACAACAGCAGCCTTATAGAGAAGAACATTCCTATCGTTCGCATGAGAGAATACCTTACGAATGTCCTAGAAGAAGATCTCCATCTCCACCACCGTTGCCATCAACACCACCACAAACAACGATTTATTATTACGATCCTCGGTTCAGAGATCGTTCACCACGCCATCATTCACCGTATCGTCCTACAACATCACATTATCGAGCTCGTACACCAACTCCACCACGCCCACCGCGATCAGCTACTCGCCGTCGGCGACCACAAATGCGCTCTCAAGAAACCGATACCAGTCTAGATGCAATGAAACATCAACAACATGCAGGTGTGCAGTATGATCCTCGATCAACGCATGAAAGAGGTACAACACCTAGTTTGCGATCCAAGAAACCAACAAGTCCCTATCGTCCACTTACACCCGATACAACATTCTACTCTCCACGCCCATATCCAACGTCATCTAGACATCATTCACCTCAAAGTTTTCAACTTGAACCCAGCAGAAGAAATGATTACTATCGAGATACACGCGAATATGAAGAAGAAGAAGAAGAAGAACCACCTGTCATGCACGACAAATCAACTATGGCCGAACTTACCGTCAGTTTTGATCATTACACACAATGCGATGCTCAGCCTTTCATGGCTGATCGTTATATTCAAACGACACCAACGAATGATGATGATGAACATCACAATTTATTTGAATACTCTAACGACTCAGATATTCGACAACTACCACGTCGTACTTCTACTTATATTCCACAGCCAATTGTTATCCAACCTGATACGCTACCACGCCCACAACGTTCCCGTTATTCTCCAACACGTCCAAAACGCGACGGACTTGATTATACGGGAAATATTCTTGAACTTTCACTTCATCATGGTCAACAACAACGAACTACACCTATTCCTGGCTCACCGGTACTTCATATTGGTACAGAGAATGTTATTCTACAGTCATCGACAAATGAATATACTATACCATTTGAAACACGTTATATTCACGATTCATTTCCGTCAAGATCAGGAAAGGATAGTCCATTCATTAGTACTATTCGGGATTCACCACAAACTCGATTATTTACCAGTAGTAGTCCCGTACGACAATCGAAAAGTAATGGAAACTTCTATTTAACCACCGCACCAACACGATCGTTGAATTCATCTTTTCGTCTTGAAATATCCGCCGATGACATTTAAGAACGTTCTTATTTCTTGTTCTGTGTTTTTTTCCTTTTGTTGAGCTTTAACTCTCCTTTGTTGATGATGATAATGAGATTTCTCTTGTGTCTTTTTCGCATCTGTAGAAATGACAAACACCGGTTTCTGTTTTTTTCACTGTTCCATTCTTTTCATATATTTTTTGCTACTGTATGAAATTATCTAAGCTATACATTATTATTTATTTATACTGTCCGTGTGTTTCGTTGTCGTTCGTAATAATCCGAATGCAGTACGTTCTTCTTCTTCTTCTTCTGCCTACTCATTTTTTTCTTTTGTATTACACTAGCCTTCTTCTAAGTTTTAGTGAACAGTAAAGATTTCTGTTATCTTCTTGTACTGTGGAAATAAACAATAAATCAGTATTGCTTCATCTGTCATAAATTGAAAGAAAATACATTGTGAAGATATTTCAATGCCTAATATTTTTTGCAACTGATCGATTTTGCATGTTATCGTCTCCTGCACAAGTTTAAACCATAATGAGCGCGTTTCATTTCTGAAAAAATGTATTGTGTTCACTCATCCTGCGTCTAACCGAAAGAACTCTTTTTATTTCAGGTAAATACAGAAATCGAACAGAAAATATGTTTCACGAAAGCATAATTTAGTTATTTTTTCTTTTCTGCGATGTGGAAAAAAAACAAGAATAAAAAAGAATTTCTTCTTTATTTTCAGCTTCGTCCCTGTCCGTTGTCTCGCTCCGTTTTGTCGTTCGTAGTTCATAATTTTTTCTTGAGAGGAGAAAAGGAATTAGAATAAGAAAGAATGTATCCTGTGTCTTTCATCTTTCTTTCTGTTTTCTTCCTCTTGCTCTCTCCCTCTTCTTTTTCTATGTTGCTGGCTTCCATCTCTCTTGGCGGTGTTCTCTTCGCTTTCCTAGTTGTGGTTACCGCTTACCTATCATTGTGTCTCTTTCTTCTCTCTCTCTGTCTCTCCCGGTGCGTTTTATCGTGCTTGGTTCTTAAGCGCAATTTAATAATATAAATTCCAGTGAAAAATATTCAGTAGTATACTCTTCTACAAATTGTCGATATGAGCTCGAGCCCCACCAATACACACGAATTTCGTCGTGGATCTGTGCCTGGTGATGGAGCATGTTTGTTTTGGTCAATAATTCTTTTACTTGCCCAGCATATATTGAAAATGGTGACTGAGGACTTACCTGAATATGCATTCTCAGCCATCCTAGACGGCACTTTTATGAAGGGAAATCTGACAACTAATCATCACGGCATAAGCTTTTTCACGAACGATGCTATCAAAAAGCTAAATCAACAAATGCGTAAACGGGTAGCTGACTTTATTCGCAATGAGGTAGATATGCATAATCTGGTCAGAAATAGTACTGATCACCCTTATTCCATACCTACTTACTGTGATTTACTTATTCGAGCTGAGCTCTTCGCTGGTGAAGTGGAACTCAAGGTGCTATCTAATTTACTTGATACGATGATTTGTATCATTACTGTTACAAAGTACCGTGGTCAACCGTACGTTTATGCTACACCGTACGGAGAAACTAATGAAGACGCCAAACAATGCATCTTTATCTTATACGATGATATTGGTAAATACTTTAGTCCACTATATAAGGTGAATAAAAATGATATAACCGATAAACAAACGATCTTTGATCGAAATGATCTTACAACACTCACACTTCTCCAAACATTTATCGAAGATAAACTCCATTGTAAGTTTAATTATCTGTCACAGACGATAACAACAAGCTATTGTTTCTCTTTTTTCAGATAGTGCTAGAGTCAATTTAGATGCAATTCCATTCATCCATGCAGAACTGTTAGACATTCCGAATGGTAAGTGTGAAATCTTCTTTGACAGCGATTTTATTTTTTCATAATAGGTTTTGGTACAAATGAAAACTCGACCGGTTCCTTAAATAAACGAAGAAACTCAGGTAAATAAGGCCATAAAGATTTCGTATTGATTTCGATCATTGTCTTTATCTTAGAAATCGATGGTGTTTTATCGCCGCCAAATGACAACAAAAAGCTGCCAGTAAACGTATCTTTTCGACATTATGGTAGATTTTGGATTAAAAACAAAACTATTTCTTCATATCAATGTCTTTATAGGAGGTAACAAGCGTGTCAAACTCAGTGTCGAGACACAAACCGAATGTCGTAAGCTATTTGCGGAAAAATGTTCATCGAAATATCTAATAATTCTTGTTTTGTTAGATAAAGATGAACGAGGCTCCATGCAGATTGAAGAGAGTATTCAATTTCCATGCTTGGCCAATATGTCGCAAAACAATGAAGAAGAACCAGTAAATATGGAACCGATAGACTCGAACGAATCTCATGCAGATGCAGAAGTCGACGTAGTCGCAGACGAATGTGACGGCAAGTGATCAAAGTCAGTAACAATTGAGGATTGTTACAAGACGAAACAAACATTTCTGTTCAGTTTTTTTCTTTTTTCTCTTCTACTTCTCCTCGTGCTCTTATTCAAGTCACAAAAATGACGAAAAATTTATTTATTCATCTATTGTTCTACTATTTCCTCTTCCGTTATTTTTATTTTCTTTCTAAGCAATCAATAACAATAAACCAAAACTCTTTCCACTGAAACTCTACTAATACATACAACGCTTATTATATCTAGCGATACGTAAAAATCTGACTTGACTCATGGTAGTCCATTTTTTACCGAATCCACAAAATCCATTTGATTGGTTATTGATGTATACCACACTCAGTGACAAAGTCAAAATAAATAAATTGATGTCGATCAAGGTATTGAATTTGCGTGCATTATGTTCAACGGTTGTTACCAGAGGTTTAACCACTAAGCAGTCTGATTTCGATTTGGGAATGAAAATGAAATATCATAATGATAGTAAACGGTTCGACAAGACACTTCAGCTATTTGATGTACACATGAAAAAGAATCTGAAAACTACTTCAACAATAATCATTACACAAGCTTTGAAAGCGTGTACTCATCTCGAAGATCTTCAACGTGGCCAATCCATTCATCAGTATATTTCGCCATCGATTAAATACGATTCTTACGTATCCACAGCATTCATTCATTTATACAGTAGAATCTAATGCAGATTTGTTTATTTTGCTCTTTTTCATGTTACAATTTAGTGCAATGTGGAGATGTATCACGTGCGGAATCATTATTTGAAAGTATTCCGAAGAAATCTTTGTCAGTTTATGGTGCGATGATTAAAGGTATAACGAATTCGTTTTCATTTTATATGAAAATACATTCTCTGTTCTAGGCTATATTAAAAACCATCAAGCAAATAAGGCACTTGAACTATTCCGCGAAATAAAGAATCCGAATGAGATCATTCTCAATCTCTTGTTCAATGCTTGTGCTGAAGTACGAAGTCCTGAAGCGTTGAATCTTGCCAAACAATCATATGAAACAATGCCCAAATCATTTCAGTCAAACCATTATCTCTTAACTTCTCTAATTGACGCAGCAATGAAATGTGGAGACATTCATTATGCTCAATCATTGTTTGATGGATCGCCGAAGAAAGTTTTGCCAATGTACGGAGCCATGATGAAAGGTAAACTCTGAAGAAATTAGTATTGTAGTAGAAAAATATGTTGTAGGCTATATAGAAAACAACGAGTTAAACAAAGTCGTTGAGTTTTTCAAGCAAATAAAAAATCCAAGCGAAGTCAATACTATGGTTTTGTTTAATGCTTGTGCTCGTCTGAAAACATCAGAAGCATTGGAAACTGTTAGACAAGTTTCAAAAGAGATGCCCAAATCGTTTCATTCACATTCGCATTTGATGAGTTCATTAGTTGACGCGTTGATTAGGTGCGAAGATTGTTCAAGCGCCGAAAATGTGTATTCGACGATGAAAAAATCTGTTATTAATTATGGAAATCTGATGAATGGTTTTAACAAAGAAAATAATCCATCGAAAACGTTAGATTTATTCAATCAGATGAAAGTTAATCACATAGAAGGAAATGTGATTATTTATTTTTGCCTCATCAAAGCATTGGCACAAATAGGTGATTATTCCATCTCTGATGCATTCATCAAACAGATTCCTCAATCGTATCTTTCGGATAGTCAAATTCGAAATGCACTAATTGACATGTGGGTAAGTAAACGAACAGAAAATATTGTACCGTTGGAAGATTTAACTTCGTTCTTTTAGAGCAAAACCGGAGCAATTGATAAAGCAAAAGAAATCTTCGATAAAATTTCTCACCCTGATCATATTGCATACACAACGATGGGTTCGCTTCTTCTTTCGAAAAGAAATTCTTCACGAATGCTTTCCTTTGAATAGTGAATGCTCTTGGTTTGAATGGAATGGGTGTTCAAGCCATTGAACTTTTTCGTCAGATACCAGAGAACTTTCGCGATGAAATAGCTCATATTTGTGTCTTAAACGCATGCTCACATTCGGGACTTGTTGAGGAGGCTCAAACAATATTCGAACGTATTCCAAACAAGACAGAAAGTATTTATGGAGTCATGGTACGCAAAAACGACTCGAGTTATTCCAAAAAGACTCGTTCATTATTTAGATTGATTGTTTCAGTCGGGCCTCCTTTTTCCAACGTGCACAGCAATTGATTGACGAATACGAATGTGCTCATTCACCTGTCTTAACAATGTACAGTAAGTATATGTTATGACTGATCGAATAGAATGGTCAGTTTGAAAGAGAAATCTATGTGATCTAGAGATATATATGTTAATGAACTTATTTTCATTTATCGAAATAATAATTGAATGTTGTTCATTTCAGTGGCATTATTGTCCGGTGCAAGAAATGCAAACGATAGTCATTTAGCACAAGATATTTATAATCGTATGAAAACTTTTTCCTCAAAACGCAGATTCCTTAACAGCGGCTGCAGTTCTGCTTATGAATGTTTACGCATCATCAGGTGATATGGGGAAAGCATCCGATATTCAGAATCAATTGCAAAGATCCGGTGCTAAGAAAAAAGTCGGCCTTTCATGGACTGCAGTTAATTGACTATTGTTTGTAAGTTTGCAATTAAAACATATATGAGAATATCTGTAACATGATTTTTTAGCAATTTCGGGCTCATGATCGATCTCATCCGCGATCGGCTGAAATCTATGCCGAAATCAAGAAAATATCCGATGAACTTATTCAACATGGTTTTCAATATGACTCAACTTGGATTACCCGACCATTGAATGAACACGAAACGATTGAATCGACCCTTTGTGGTCACGGTGAACGACTTGCAATAGCTTGGAATTTTGTTGGTAATCCTCATACGAAACGAATACAAGTAACAAAAAATCTCCGGGTTTGTGGCGACTGTCGTAGGTGATCATTCTCGTTTCTGTCGTTGATCTTCTAGTCTAATTGCTGCCATACGAAAATGTGAAATTATCGTTCGTGATGCGAATCGAATTCATCACTTCTATACAAACGGACACTGTTCATGCAATGACTATTTCTGAAGATCAATTGTGATAGACTTGATTTTTGAGTTTAGAAATTGATGAGATTTCATTGCCTTCGAACGAAGAAAAAGCACATATAATAAATAACATCAAATAGACGAAAGCAGCACGAAATTCTCGTGAACCGATGAATATTCCTTTGACTTTTCTTGGTTCTGCCGAAATTATGAGAAATAAAATCTCTTGCAGAGTACTCGTCAACTCGTACATCTATATTTAACATCGTCGGAAAAATCCGACAGTAATTGCGCAACTCATCCCGACTCAAATAGAGAAGAAGAGAAAATGTAGACGAAAGTAGCCCTTTATAAAGGCTATATTCTTCAATTTATACTGCTTGATACGTATTAGTGGAAACCTCGTGAGTTCTTTGAGATTCGAGGAAGAAATAGAAGAGAGAATGGAAAAAAGCGACTTGTTTTTGTTTTGTCGACAGGTATATAAAGCACTGCCATTCACTGTTCTCTTTCTTTCTTAACAGAGAAACGTTTCTTACCACAACATTTGATTTTGTCACATTAATATTCATTATTTGACTTTGATTAATACAGAACTTACCGCAATGATAAAATTTCATTATGGATTCAACAACGATTCTTCATTTAATTTGTATTCTACATTTCGTCATGTTAGTGGCATTTGGACAGGTAAAACAAACAAAGAATTACGAGAAATGGTGGCTGATCGAATTCTCAAATCTCAAAAGATGCGTCAAATCGACATTGTATCTTACACTGGTGGCAAAAATCTCCAACAATTTTGCAATGGTATTAAAGAAGGCCGGTTAGATGGTGGTGAACTTGCACTTAAAGCTTTGTCGAAACTAAGTCATAAAATAATTCGTCTGGTTTCCTTAAGCAAAGATGCTCAAGGTCGAATCGCTATTACCGTCGATAGTATCGGTCAAGATGATCCGTGTCCTTATGAAAACTGTGTCCATATGTTTCACAACGCAGAAACCGACCAATATCAACCATTATACGTCATTTGTCAGGAAACTCCACTAGAAGAAAAGACAATTGTGGATGCAAATGACAAAACAATCATCACAGCTTTTCGTGAATTCATTCGAGAAGAATTTCCTAGTAAGTAAATCGAAAGTGTAAATCCAAAAGCATTTCTTTCTTTTTAGATGCTGATTGCATGCAACTGGGCGATGATAGTGAAGCTCCATCGCAAGAAGCACAATCCAAGGGTAGATTTATTTGCTTGCATGTCTTCGATTTTATGTGTTTATCTTTAGAAATCGAGGAGATGGAACGTATGTTTTACATGACTTACAATGCACCCTCATCGGACATGCCGGTCCAAAACCCATCGTCAAGTAATAACATGCAACGATCTCTTCCCACTGATCTTTCAAAAGTTTTTCCTACATTGAACAGGCCTTGGAAGCTTACCGTGGGTTGGACAGGTTGCCACCGAAAATACATCTGGAGCACTGCCATTAGGTAAGGGGATCGCTTGATACGTTATATAAACTGAATGGAATACAATAGATTGCAATCAAAATCAATTGAATTCGGGCGAACAAAATGATGTCTTACCTAGTGAATCATATATGCCTGAAGGATGTTTTTCATCCAATGGATCAATGCAATGCAATTTTGATTCGGCAGAAAATGATGCTGCAAATACGGATCAGATGCCATATATAAAACTAGCTGTTGATCTTCCAGATAGATTTCGTGGTCGTACAAAAGGTGAATATGTACAAAAGAAGTCAACGAAGAAAAATAATCAACAAGCACAACTAAGATCAATACGCTATTTGTCGGACCGAGAAAACCATCGTTGTCTCACTCTGTTGGTATGTTTCTATCAAATTTGTTCTGCCAATCGACACTTTCTACTTCTCTTATAGATCCACGAAAGACTTTTGCAGATGTACTTATTCCCAATGTATTTTGAAGTTACCCCTATTACGATGGACATTGGGGGATATTCCTATGTCAATTCATTTATGAAGATAAAAGAAAATCCAGCCGATGCTCAATCACCGACGTCCAATCCATTTTATTTCACCATTGAGAGTCTAAATGAATTAACTCGTTATTCAAATACACAATACTATCAATTCAGGTAATCAACATTCGATCTAACCATTGACGACCCACTGTCCACTCTCGAAAACATCATATAAAATTTTCAAGCACAATACCCTCCCAATATGTCACTATTCTCTGCATACTAAATAGAAGTTTTGAATGACATCATTAGGAATAGTCTTGAACTATAGTATGGGATAACTTAGTATATTTTCAATTCATTTAAACAGTATTATTTTTTAGCATAGAAACAACAGTTATTCTGACTTTTTCCTTTCATAAGTAATTGAAAGTGCGTCAAAATCTTATCAGAATAAATTTACAGTGAGCCTAAGCCACATTTCCGAGTTAACCAAACGAAAAACTATAAAAATCACATTTCACTCATTTCATCTGCGTGGAAATCCTGTTCGATCCCGCCCGGCAGTTTTGACCGTTGTATGAGCCTATGGAGCGCCCAATCGTCTGTGCTAACATGCTTGTTTTCTTCGTGCACTCTCAAAAAACTCTGTCGGTCGTTAAGGGTTAAAAGAACGTATGTATATCGTAGCATTTTTTTATTCTAGATTGAAACTTACGCTAGTTGTTCTCACAGCCCGAGAATTGATGCAATGTAAGCAACCATTTGAAATCTTTCCCGTTTCACACAACGGTACTAGTACGTACAAAACCCACATTTCAAAATTTCTTATAAATCTTACGATTCTATCCTTATAGCGCAAAAGCCAATAACAAAAAAATTCAAAAAGACTACGGAACTCAAACAAGCTTACGATGTTCACAATATGCGTCTTGCGATCACCTTATGCACGACAGATCGTGTTGATGGCACTTTGTATCGAAATTCCGACGTCCAATATATCAGTAACATCTCAACCGAGGATCGAAAACGTAAGTAAAAAGATCAAGAGATGCATCTGACTGATTTCGCTTATTTTTAGATAAGAAGTTAAACACCAAGGTGTCGTTGGAAACAAGATGTGCTCGTACTCCTTAGAGTTACTTTTTTTTATCGTACTGGCTTGAAGGAGCTGTTTTTTTTTTGAAGGTCACATAAACATATCAGTGAACTCTTGTTTTGTTATTAACAAAAATAATTTAAATATAAAAAAAATTCATACAATGCTTTACACACGTTTGTTCAGAAAAGATAAATCACGAAAAACAAAAAGCGAGTTGTTAGTCAATTCGTACAAATAAAGAGCAAAAAGACATACACACACCGGGTAAGTATTCTTGAATTTGTTTCATGCATTTTTTGTTTGACAAAGAAAATGTATTCCGTCACTGGTGGTAGTTAGTCTTAAAATTCAGGATCTGTACCTGAATTACATTTTATCATTGAAATAACTGAATTGGATCGAGTGAGTTCTCGATCGTTATACGTAGATGTCGTGGAAACAGTGACATTATCCGATGATAATAATTCTTCACGTTCCAAGAATAAATTTTCAACGTCCATTTCGGCAAAGATTGATAGTGGAAATGGATCACTGTTCGTTTCTGTTGGAAGCACTGATTCGTTCATTTCTCGAAGTAAGCTTCGGTATTCCCTATAATTGGCCAGTGTAATCGCTATTTGTTCTGTGTACGCGGACATATCTCCATCATGTAGGTGAACGTCATGGTCGATGTGTAGATCTGGTTCTACAATGTCTCTGTTTGATCGAGTTACATGGCGACGCTGTCGCACGTGTTTAACTAACTTATAAATGCCAAAGGTTGGTAAAACAGTGACAGCTGCCGTTATAGCACCAACAAGTACTATGGGCGAAGCGACCACAACACCGGTCGCTATTGAACCACGTATTGTTCGTCGAAGCCAGGGCTTTTCCGGATGAAGATTGTATGGACATCCGAAGACACTAAAGCGTTTTTCTAATTATTTTAAAGTTTCGCAATGCTAAAAGAAATCTAATTACCTGAATTTATTGCCATGACTACCAATAACTGGAATTTTCATGTATTGTCGGCCACATAGATAGCAAAATTCGCACTGGCACGACGAGCATGTCATATGAGGACAACCACCAGCACGTTGTATGAATGAAGAACATTTCGGACATTTTCTTGCATTCCATTGATCTTCACTCTTCTGCTTGATCCATTTCAGCAGGAGTTTATCACCTTTAACGAATTGTTTACATGTCATATTTTCATGCCATGGCGCAGCACAACGAAAACACCAGACTAACGAACATTCCGAACATTGGACTTGTTTAGGGATCTTTTTGTTCGCCTCCTTTTTGAATGATGGCTTTTTATTGGACTTTTTCGAAAGATTTCTATCGATTTCATCAAGAGAATAAAGATGTGAGCAGCGTGGACCTAAATAAACAGAAGAAAGTCAAACAGAATCATAAACCAGATTGGATTTTACATGTTTTAGCACGTGGATTTTGATTAGCATATATATAGAGTTTCAAATAACGCTCATGTAATGGCGCATCATAACGAATAAAATTCACTATTGACTCTTTGGTTAAATATTTGCTACAGTCACTTGAGATGCAAGGCACTTGTATACGACCATCATTTATTGTTGCCGATATATGAGCACGCCAGCATATGCCACAGCATTGAAATGTGCAACATAAGGTTGATTGTAACACAGCTGATTCTAAGCATATTGGACACGGTTTCATCGCATAATTCAGTCCGGAAGCAACGGTTAATGAGCAATCTGATTTGAGCGTGATAGCTTCGTCATCGTCTGTATCATCGAATGAGTCATCGTCAGTATCACGGAGACGACGATGATGATCAATAGCCGAAACTCTCGCTATTAATTCTGATCGAACAGTTCTCATGACCCTATGATAATCAATAGTGCCATCTGTAGGTGTTGCTGACATTAGTGAATCCAGTAACATTCGATGATCTCGTATAGGAGCATCGTCAGTCGTAGTGATTGGAATTTGTTCTTCTATAGATTCTGTAGTCGAAGAAATCGCATCTCTCAGTGTACACGGACCGGACATGGTTTTAATTTCCAGAACTGAATCTGGTTCAGCCATCTAAAACGAAATAACATCGTGAAATAAACATTACCAAATCACATGATCGAATCGGCAGCTATGTTGTTGACATTAATTTACTTTCTCATATATTTTCATCGTATATCAACGCTCAGTCATCGCGTAAAATCTAAAAACGTTTTTTTGAATCATAACAACTGTACGTATCACTATTTTCTTTCATGTTGTTGTGCTTTTCGACTCATCGTACATAGGATGACGACAATGGATATCGTTTCTAGTTTGTTATGACTTACGTCTACTCACAAAATGAGAAAAATACTCGTCGTTTTGCTTTCTCTTTTCTGTTTAAATACACTCTCCTTGCAGCGCGAGAAATGTGTTCCTTGCTGTAAGGAGTAGTGCGTAGGTTGTCATGTGCTGTCAGAATAGAAAGTAAAAAAAAACTCCATTTTTCTCCTTAAAATGCCACATCGCACAAACAGTGTCAACAATGAGAAAAAGATGTAAGAGACACATCATTACAACGATCGTCATGATATTAGTCATCACTGAATCAGAACATACCATCCTCGTCGTCTGTAATGGCATATCTTACCATGAAATTACATACATTATGATGATTGCAATCACACAACGTATTCTGTAATACTTTCTCTGAATAGCCAAATGCGTGTGCGAGATATTCGATGGAAAACTATACTGTTTCTCTTCCTCTTGTTGATAATATATCCATACATGGCAATATCGCTATGTATGTGAGTGACTCATCGTTATATCAAGTGTGCTCTCGCTTCAGTAGATATGCATCAGGTGCTTGTTTTCTGATCGATAACGAGCTGAATCATTTGATTTGAGGTGTGCTAGACTAAATCTCAGTTTTATTCATTATCAATGATAAACAAAAAGGTACAATGTATGTCCAGATCTAATCTTGAGGTAGAATCAACAACCAAGAATAACAAAATCAAGTATTTTGCAATTTTTTATCAGAAAAAGAAAGCAGAAAGAGAAGTTCTGCAAGTATTTTTATGTGACACATTTTCTTTCATAAATATTGAGCGTTGAGACGAGAGAAACAGTAGGAGGAGAAAGTAAATCTTCTACATAGGAGATTGAAGAGTAGATAAATGTTTCTGAAACTGAGTCGGAACTTTTTCATTGTTATGATTATGGAGCGTTGAGGTCGATTGTGATAGTTGTTGTAAGTAACGTGATGCAACTACAGCAATTAATCCTGCACCTTTACCACTGCCATCGTCGGATAGACTTAGTTTGAACTAAACAAGAAAAAAAAAGACGAGATAAATTCCGGAATAGTTCAAGAAGAAAAATGAATCATTAGGAGCTATGATTAATCATGTGACTTTGAGCTATCTTACGGATAAGATCGTTTAGTTTTTTCCTGATTAGACAAAGCTTCTGCCGCTGCCACAGTCAATGCAGCACCGATACCCGAACCATCGTTGGATAGTTGTAGTAGAAACTGAAATATGAACGATTTGCGGTACTCTTTTCATAATTCGTTTCGTGTCCTAGCAGGATTTTCTCAAGATTCGATCTTTCTACGTACCTTGATATTTTTACTGACTAAATTCTGCATACACTTCTCCATATTTCGTTTGAATCTTGGATGATAACGGTACAATGAACCATCAACACCGACCGTTACATTTGGTTTATTGATACGATTGATAAGAACGGCAAGACCTATAGTGATAAATTTAATCTAGAGATAATTTCGACAGGAGAATAAAATGCTTGTTACCTGCTCCAGCTAACCGTGCTGCACGTTTGGATACAATTTTACAAATATGCTGAACAATTGCACAATCATCATAACTGGGATTTCTTATTCCAATATCTTCCAAAACACGTCTCGTGTTTGAAAATCCAATTCCTTCATCCATTTCCACACTACTGACGTACTTGGTGTAGAACCCACCTCGTGTGAACAACGGCGTTTTGAAATCTTCTGAACCATTACATTTGCCGATAAATAACAAGTTTTGATGTATTAGATCCAGCATAATCAAACGAACGATTTCACCCATGTACATTCCGCTGATCATTTTCTCGAAACTGAAACCAAAGAGAAGAATAGAAAAATGAATTGTACAAGCAAAAGAATCATACATCTGTTTGCCCGGATTGACAGACGAAAGATCGACTTCTTCGTCGTATTTTGTTCGAATATGGTTTAAACGATGGTTATTACCAAATGCACCCCATTCCATATTGATAATTACTTGCTTCGGATCATTGTAATCACCGTCCCATGTACCCACTCGATCGAGTTTCTCCATATAACACGCATTTGTGCCTGTTCCTAAGATCAAACCGATTTCTGTGTTCGGGTCTTTGTATGCACATGCCATTAATGTGCCAACTGTATCGTTGACAAGTGCGACACACTGTACATTGATATTCTAAATTGACTGAATTTTATTAAATAGAGTAAATTGGCGATATCTCCTACTTTTTCATCAATAGCTACTTGAAGCATTTTCACAACGTCTTCATTCACAACGCCAGAGCACGTGAAACCTTTGGTCCAAGTTGATAGACGAGCCGATGCTAAACCTTCCTGTTTACATGGAAACGAAAAGGTAAAACCTAATGGATAACGAACACCTGGCTTATTCAAATTTTCTTTGTTCATAAATTCCATCAAACAATCAGCAAGATGACGAAATAGCTAAAAGAACAAAGAGATATGAGAACAGTCATGAAAATCGAATGTCACTTTACATAAGAGCCTTCACCGAGCATGATCGACTGAGGTATAACGAAGATTTTTGAAGTCAATTCAACTTTCGATTGCGGCAATAAATCAACCAGTAGCACACGAAAGTTTGTTCCACCTAAGTCGAGTGCAAGTACTTGGCCAGTTTCGGAACCATCAGCTGTGCTTCTAACGTAAGTGGCGAACATTTTGACGTCAGCTGTTGGATGTGTGGCTGGGGATAGGCCAAGCTCCATTTCTCGTTCGAGTGATTGCATGATAACTCGAAGTTTGTCGTCGTCATCGAGACGTAACGCTTCAAGAACTTTTTCAATCTAATATATTAGAGATAAAATGAAAGGATTTATGTAAAGCTTTTACAGATTATCACCTCAACAGTAAGAAAAATAGATTTATAAAGCGTCAACAAGCGACGGAAATAATTAACATCTCAACTGGAAACATCGTCGCGATAAAATAATCGCAAATATCAAAGAAAAAAAAATCCAGCTTGCGTATTCTCATTATCAACTCGTTCTAATCGAACGACGAGCGACGAATGCAAAATTAGTATCATATATCATTCTCTCCTGTAATGTTTTGTTTGTTTATTTCTATTCAATAGAGTAAAAGCACCCTTGATATTTTTTACGATCGTAATAAAAATGAATACGAATATCCTATCGACAGCGCCTCTTTTTTTTACATTCTTTACAGCAGAAGAATGTTTCATATTATTGAAAAATGCTCGACGCATGTTGTAAAAATGTTTTTAAGCGAAGAATCGTCTGTTCTTCAGGGGCCTGTTGTATTTTGCTCTACATAGTGATGACGTAAAGGAGAAACGGCACTGACATGTTATCTCCTTTGATTAGTATATCGAAAAAGACAGTTAAAAGGACGTTTTCTGATGTTTCTTCTTACCTGCTCGTTTGATTCAGGGTGACGATGTGATGGCAAGTGCTTTGTTTCAGGTTCAGCTGCTTTATAGCCGGCATAGGCTGCTGCGCCGATTAAAGTACATGCTGCGATAGCATACAGTCCTTTTTGCAAAGTTGCTGTTGAGATTTCATCCTGGAGAATCGTGGCAAGCGTCGACATTGTATTTCAAAGATTATCATATGAAGATTAATAGTACGAAGTCCAATTTACGGTAATAAATTTTTTCGAGACAAAGTTAACGATAAAATTGTGATACCGTTAGAGAAAAACGTCTCCTGAGTACTTTTCGGAGAGAGACATGAATAGAATAATGTTTGCATGTATTTTTGCTTTTATCGTTTTATACGCCTTGTATATTTCTCTCCCCTCCTTCTTCTCGTTTTTTCTTACGTTACTCGTTTACATTTGTGCTACCGATAGGCATTTTTCTCGTCTGTTCTTTTCTTTCTTTTTCTCGTGTTCTTCAACGATTGAAAGAGAGAATACCATACGGATAAAAACAAGTCAAGGCACTTTTATCAAAATGAAAAATCGCTTCATTATCGAGGGAAAAATACGCATATGGTCAGTAGCGATAAAATCGTAGCTTTCCTTTTATTTGATTATTTAGATGATCATTGAGTAGTTTAAAACAAAACCAAAATGACGAAAACAAAGCATCATCTCGTTCCATCAACGGGCTTTTGCTCTGTCAACATTACAGTTAATCATTTCGATAGGTAGACATTCGTTGTCTCGAGCCGAATAGGCCAAACCCTTATCACATTCCATCACGCTATGCCAACCTAAGAACAACAAAGATATTTATAGTGATTCAAACAGATACAGAGCCATAAAGGGTGCGTACCTGTGCCACAGTAATGAAATTTATGACAATGAACTGGATCGGGATAATAACCGTTAACACGACTTGCACAAGTAAACATTGAAGGTAGTATTGATGTGATTGGCATGGTTGCTGTTGTCGTCGTTGTTACTATTGTGGATTTCATAATCGGACGAGTAAATAGCTGGAACCAGTTTTTCTTTACTGAGCCTGATGCTGAATCAATCGTTTTCGAATTTTGACAGCCAACAAGGTGTGCGGACATACACAAACGTAATAATGATTCCCAATGCAGACCTGGCGCACAAATTGAACGATAATCGCGACCATCGATACAAACATGATATACACGGCAATCCTGTGTATCACCAAAATAACCATCAACTAAAGATCAAATTTCAATGTAAATACAAAAGAAATAGTTTCATATTTTCATTGCCTTACCAACGCAGCTGAATGGAATCACTCGTTGTTTCTTATTTACTTCGTCGGATGAAATCGGATTGCTATCTGAGATGTCAAATGGAGTGTCTAAATGATTGTTTC